TTCTTATCAGACCAGAGTACTGAAAATAGTATGTATGCACACACAGTTGGGTTGTGTACTCTGTGTGTTGACCATAGCGGTTCGCTTTCTTTCGCTGTCCGTAAAAATGGCTGCGATTCCTGTCCTCCTTACACATTATTACTTACCTTGTATGCAAAATGAGTTTGTCAGCGATTAGTGAAGTTCGCTTCACTGCATTACACTGTGCAATGATGATGGTTCTATCATCCATGCCTCTGGTTTGGGATATCCCATTTCCTAAGGGTTGAGGGTGAATTAATGATGGCTGCCTGTGAAATGGTTGATATCTATCAAGGATTATCATTTGGTTTTGATGAATTCATAGCCGATCATTTGATTTGATTGCTAATGCAGCCATCCATGTTCGTTGTGTATTTTGCACCTTCAAAGTGCAAAATGATTCTACAATACTGAGTTAGTCCAGTTCCAAGCTTCGCTCTAGTTGAGAAAGCAATAGAGCAAGTTGGCAAGTTTGGTCATTTGGGTACTGCACCTCACTCGATGAACTCATTGCGGCTGACCGTGAAGGATCTAGTGTGTGCTGCGGCAGTTCGGCCAATTCTGCTAAACGGTGCAAAAACTTGGCTATTACGGAAACAGGATAAGATGGACTGACGGTGTTCAAACACAACTGTGTACTCCTCCGTGGCACGTGTCTGGTATGGGAAACTGGAAATACAATGCGGAAGCTAGGCGCAGAGTTTTAGATAATCGCCTTCACTCAGTGAAACAAGTGGTCGACCTTCCTATATTACGTTGGTTAGGGCGTGGTACTCGTGTCACCTAATTGGTCTTTNCTAGGGCGGAAAACCTAAGGCTAGCATGAGAGCCAGAAACTCAAAAAGGATACTTGGCCCCCTGGATGGGGACATCGGGATCATTGTAACCAATGGTTAGAGACACTGAGAGATGTGACTGGAGTACCTCAGAATTGACCGATAGTTTTCCCAAGAAACTTAATGAAGTGTAAAACAATGTTGGAGTATAAATGGACAATCCAGCATCGTCTAGTTGTCAATTAAAGTCGAGGAAACACGCATTACTGTACCATGTCTAAAGATTTCCGAAACCTAATTTACCAAGTGGGCAAGGGCATGTCGGGTAGAACATTATTTGAGATCAAATTGTTANGTGTTGTGAATGTCTTATTCGCAATTGGTGCTCCATTTCCCGTTATGCTTTCTTTCGCATTGCCGTTGCCTCCATATCACTGGAAAAAACTTCGTCGTTTACGAAACTTGAAACATCAAAGACACTTTATATACATATTTCTTAGTATTGTTATATTTCACACCTGTCTGAGGACAGATTGTGCCAAGCGAATCATGGTACAATAATCTTTATAAAAAAAGACAAACGTTCCATGGTTGGCTTGCGGACTCAATACTACTAGGTTGCCCAGGCCAAGGCAGGTGAATTTTCTTTTGAAATCCACAACCGGAGCCTTTGGCTAGCCAAAGCCTGACCCACAAGGCAGCGGGTTGGTGTGCAAAAACCGTAATCCATTGGGAGCCGGTGTCCACTTCGTCGGATCATCGGTTTTTAGCCAACTCCCCCAGGTGAACTGCCAGTGGTTCACTGACCCAGTTATAGTCCCGGGTATCGACTTTTCGTCCTCTCACCTCCGCCACGAGAAGGCAGTGAGTAGTACTTCCTCAGCAGAGGCTATTTGAGACGTTTGGTAGTATGGGAGCATTTCGCGAGGTGCAAGTGACGGGTGACCAGCCGCAACCTGAGACACCCACCCCCGACCATACTGAGGATTTCGGAGGCTGAGGGTACGATCGAACGATATTACTAAGAAAACGGGGTCCACATTCGACCGAAATATGTGAGAGGCATTGTAGGTTGTAGGGAAAGATCATTGTTGTAGGCTCACGCCAAGAAGATTTGGTGTGCGTTATTGTATCACAACTGCGCTTTTATAGGGCAAATTCTGCCTAAACGATGCATATCACGGAAATCGAGCTCAACAAAAGAATCCTCTGTGTCAAGATGCAACCGTGTTTCTTGCAGTATACTTATCATTGACACGGAGCGATTAGGTAGAATCGGTGTCTCCCGTCTTCCAGGTTGGGGTCCGAAAGACTACAA